AATGCAGGCTGGGAATCAGCCATCGCATCAGCGGTAGCTGCTCAGACAGGTCAGCTCCGCAAGGAGCTGAAAGAAATGAAGTCCCTCGTAGGAGGGAGACGAGGGAGCGACAGCGGCTCCTCGTCCAGACCATCCAAACGGGCACGGTCTGATAACTCGAGGGCGTCAGAAGACGCCTGCGACCATTGCGCCCACTGGAGGCGCGAATACAACAGAGCATGAAGAGATGCTGAGGGCATCTTCGACTCTCTGAAAGACACAGAGAGAGAAGTCGATCTCCAAAAAAGGGAGATTGAATTACTGAAACGCGAGCTCAGAGAGGCATGCGCACTGGCAGACCTCGCTGCCAAACCCATCATGACGGGGGCCTCCCAGGTCAGGGGGAGGGGATATGGTGCCGGGGCACCGACTATCCGGCCACCCCATGGGCAGGCGACCCTGTCCGGGTTGCATAAGGGCCCGCCCTCAGAAGGGCAAACCCATGTCAAGGGGAAGAAGGAGAGCAGTAGGCAACCGACGGCAGACCCTAAAATGGGGACCACTGCCAGAGGCGGCGGGCCGCTGAGTACCTCAGCACCCTATGGGCAAGCTACCCTGCAGGGAAGTGTCCACATGCTATACGAGACCGCCGAACTCAACGAGTTCGGCAAAGTCGAAGCTCCAGTCAACGTAACATTCGACCCCAACTTTCCCATGAGGAGAATAGCAGGGTCAGAACAGCGCACGACGCTGCATACGCTTGGTGGACAAGTGTGAGTGGGAAAGAATTCGTGCACTGGTACGAACAGGCCGAAGCCACCTTCAAAAGCGGCAAGGTACACAGAACCCTTTGCGATAAAGTGAAGGAAACCGAGAAATACTTCTTAGGACTCCCGAGTATTGCAAGACTCGCGGAGGAGTATAATTCCCCGGAGAATAAGGGAAAAATCTCCTGGGAAAGTCTAGGCAAAGCTGCCTATCTAAAGTCCCAGTTCAAACCACTCAGGACTCCTGAGGAACGTGCCGCAAGAACTGCGGAATGGGAAGCGAAAGCTTCCAAATACCGGGAAAGAGACACAAGTCTCCGCGCTGGACAACCAGCCCAACGACCACCCTTCCCCACGGGAAGAATGGTAGACCTACCGTACTCCACACCTGAGCCAAGTAGCTCAGGAACACAACAACCCGCTCCCACCCAGGGAGCGCCCACTTCGTCGAGCCCACAGCCCAACAATGTAGCCCAGGCTACGTCATCGCATCCGACGCAGCAATTGGATGTCCAGATGAACAACCTGGAAGAAAACCCTCCTCCAGGGCAATGACTCCACCCTTGAGAAAAGGGAAAGTGACATGGTAATACGCCATCGAGGCGCCCATGAAAACACCTTCCCCCAACTTGAGGCCCTGCACACAATACTGTATGCGAGGAACCGCAAGTAACAATTGCGGAAATCTCCACTCCGCCCAAAAACCCACATCCACCACCGCTCGTGTGTAAACACCACTTACACACGAACCCTCATGGAACAAGTGAGGAACACCAAAGACATACAATCTTTGGGTCGAAATTCATTTTCGATAAACTCCACTATTTTTCTCCCTGCGATACCCATGTATCACTGTTCACTTCAAAGTAATGGCCCACACTCATTTATTTCTTAAACCCTCCCTCTCTCCTTCACCGACATGTATAAAATCGCCCACTTTAAAGTGGCAACAACAAAAAACACTCATTGACAATTCCAAACTCAATGTAAATCAATTATTAAAAATTTGTTTTATTTTCACTATCAACCTTGTATGTGTTGCAAATGCAATGCAAGGGGGGAGAATGTCAGGGCAATAGCCCCGAACCCCGAGTCATATGTAAATTAGATACATATAGTCACGTGGGTAAGTGGGAACCTCCGGGTAACTGCTTACACACCACCGTAAAATACACATACTTGTATCACTTACGGCTTTGTGTGCTGAGCTACCCAAAGACCTCACACTGACATGGCACCTCCACATAACCTGATCTTACCTGTATATAAACCCAGCCAAAGTGGAACTAAAGAAGCAGCCTTCTTCTCACTTTTGCTTCAGGCAAGTAGTCTAGTTTTCCCTTTCAACAACAACTTGCTTTCACTTCAGTCTAAGAAGTTGTATGGGGACACTGGCCCAAGCAAGAACTGCTCGCCCTTCACTCCTGCCACTCCACCATCACCCTGGCTGCTAGTGCCAAGCACTGTGCTGCTGCTGCCACCCCTTCTGAGCCATCCCTGACAGGAATGCCATGGTAGGTCTGAAATCCATGACTATCATAACCTCACAATGGCTGAGCCAATTGGCCTGAAACTGTCAGGGCCCAGCCTCGGACTCGGAGGCTCCCTGACCTCAACCCCCATCTGACCTATCCTCACACTATGCGGGGCATGAGATGTATAGTAAAAGGAAATAGAATATGTACACTTGCCTATGTGGGGCATGAGATGAGAAGAAGGGTAAAGGTCTCATCTCCCTGCATGGTTGCTATATAAAGGAATGGGTCACATGCCCACAACTATACAGCTCCTAGAGTTGTGTAGTGTGACCTGGAGGGAACATCCAGGTGGCAGTGCCCAGTGAGCATGGGAACATTCTGGGGGAGCTGCTCACTCAGAAAGTTCCCACGCTATCCTGTGCACATGGATACACAACACAGAAAGGTGACAACTGTCAGAGACCAGATTCGAGACGAAGGAATGTCTCTGTAGTGGAGGGCTTCGGCCTCAGCGACTTCTGCCAAGAGCGCTGTGCCTAGTGACATGTCCGTGCCCTAACTTACTGACTGGCAATTAGAACCTAGGGGGGGTAACTCTAGTTGATTTTACTACTGGGGTGTAACCTATGTACAAGTGGGATATATATATGGTTACAGCAGAGATGGTTCCGCAATTGGCGGAGCCGAACAGAGCGGAGCTAACGGGGTTTAAACATTAGCCGACTGAATATTACCGACGAGTCGGTTCGTGGGGTTAGCGGAAAGGCAGGCGATAACCCAGAAACGGAAAGGAGGGATAGGCCCGAAGGTGGGCTCTGCAGGGCAGGCGAGTGTATTGCCCAGCAGAGGTGGGGGTGCGCTAGCAGACGTCGGAGCTGTCCGGAAGTCCTGGGGGCTCCGTACTTAGGGAGGCATAGGTAATAAATTGAAATGAGGGGGTGGTGACCATCGAGGGGTACCGAGAGGATTGCGGAATACGGGGGCTCTGAGGTTAGTGAGGGAGGAGCGGAGTTGGACCGGAGGGATCGGAGGAACCGGAAGTCAATGGCCGGGGATGGATATGACAACAACAAGGCAACAGTGAAGGAATGGAAGGAAGGGAGTGGTTGGGGAGTCTGGGGCACCCTGGTGCTGAACCCTGACAGAAACTTTGTGTACTGCTAGAATCTGATTTTATATATTTTCCATGTAAGTTTTATTATGTGTTTCTAAAATGGATCTTTCGTGAACATCAGCTTTCCCTGAGCTTTGACTTTAGTGCTGTTTAACCATTAGGTGAATATCTCCATAATGTGTGAATCTTTTTCTGTGAATTTTTGCGTCCATTGAGAATCGATTTCTCTCTTTCCAATAAACTATTAAACTTGTCTCGGTCATTACTGGTTGTCCTTTGCACTTGATTTTGAATGTCATCCTTGTTTTCAATGGATTTCAGCTCTTTCTCCATTGTCTATCAGTAGTTATTCCTGAAATTACTTTTATTGAGTTTATGTATAAATCATCTACATTCTTATTATAAACACAACACCGATTTTTGCATTAGTTCCTTCAGAACCTTTGTTCTGTGGTACTTTCAGCCTTGCCTGAGTGTGCAGATGTGGGAAGTGCTTTCTGCAGAGGCACACTGGCTAATTTCTCAGTCAAATCTTATCTGATTGACTTCATTCTTGCATTAAATTCTCCTGAGCATTCTGTCTTATTGATGCTAAGCTCAAAATATTTTCTATGTTTGCATTTGTTGGATGAATTAAACTTCATTAAAAAAATCGTTAAAATTCGTTAAAATTCAAACTCTTCTATCTTTTCATTTCTACTTGTTGTACAGGGGTTTGTATTATTATGACATATTTCCATCATGTTGTTTCATGGAGTGACTGTTATTTCTCCTACAGTGCTATGCTGGGACCCAACCCCACCCTGTCAGGGCACACCCCACCTGACCCCGCGCCGCGCCGCCCTACTCTGCTTCCCCACTATCACCCTTTGTCTCTTTTCCATCTTTCTTTCTATTTCCTTCTATGGTCGACTTCCCCTTCTCTATGTATTACTAACACACCTAACCCCACTCCCCCGATCGCCATGCCCACCACACGCATTCCCACTCACAGAGCAGCACACCTCCGGGATCTCCCACGGAGATACCCAGGGGAGTGCGGCTGTGTGTGGGGATGACGTGGCTCCTCCCACATGACCCTGACCGCATGTATATAATAGCACCTGGGGTGGGAACAGAAGAAGCAGCCTTCTTCTCAACTTCCCACTTCAGGTAAGTACTGTAGCTTCCCCCTTTTTAATGATGACCAACTTCCCACTTCAGACCAAGTGGTCGGGGACGCTCACCCCGCAACGGGACCGTCACTATGCATAGCCGACACCTGTCCCATCAAGTCCCTCGCGCCAGGACCTTGCCGCTTTCGGAGCTGTCCCTGACACACCCCTTCTGAGCTGTCCCTGACACTAACACCTTTCTCTCAGAATTCTTGTACATATCTGAGGTGAGAGTTATATAGATTTAACTAGTATTCTATTATGTCTCTCTGACTATCTACATGCTGACACAGATCTTATGTGTCATAGGTACAGTCCAATTTTAGAACTATTATATGCATCTGAATCGGTGCCATAGCCTTTATCTTTAAATGGAAGTGCATTCTCCAACATCTCTTTCATTTCATCCATTCAATGCATTTGGGACATCGACAATTTCTAATATGAGTACAAGAAATGGGCTGAGGAAAAGATTGTGAAGGTAGGTAGCATGTGTGTCTTCCTCAAGTCACCACCACATTGTTGCCAACAAGCCCGGAGTATCTGAGCCCGGTGGCTGGCCTGTAACTACATCCCTGGCATGCTCCCGCAATGCCTCCCTCAGCTCAGCAGGTGACATCCAACCATATCGACGTAAAATGCAGGCTAACATGGACACAACCCATGCAGTAGCTGGTGCAGTGCCACTAAGTGTCATCAATGCATCCAGACCAGGGCCATTCCAAGCACTTTGAATGTTGATACCTGGGGCAAAAACACTGATGACCTTTCCATAGTTGGAGTGGGAGATTACGTATTGGTGTGTTGCTGCACTGGCACTGACAGCCCCAACAGTGATAGCTCCAATTACATTTGCAGGACCGAATTGTCCTGCATCCACACCATGATCCCCTGCACAAACTACAACGTGCAACCCCAAATTGATGACCCAGCTGACAGCTTCGTTAATGGCAAGATAATCAAGAAAGTGGCAGCATATCATAATGATGGGAGAACCCCTCTGTTGTGGAGCGACCGACTCAATGCTATCGGTGTAAACCCACTCAATGCCTTCAATTAGGTCGGAGGCAGCTACCTCATCGTCCTCTGTGATCTTCACAACCCTAAGGTTGGCCAACGATGGCAAGCTAAAACCTTCTCCCACTGCCTTTGCTGCAATATATGTGCCAGCACCAAAAGTGTCCACCCCATGGGTACCAGTTACAGTCTGCACATAAAAGCAGGTATGAGTGATGATATATGGTGGAGAGTGCATAAAGAGATACTACGCACATGACCCCAGCTAAACTGTGCTTCATCAGATACAAAGCATATGTGGTGAAGGTTGGCTCCACTATCTAGTGAATAAACAGTGACTATACGCCCATCGGCACGTTCTTTGAGTTCAACCAGATTATCCTCCATTTTAATCCCATCATTGTCATGCTCTGTCGCATCCCTCTCATGGTGGTCATAGCCATGGAGGTCATAGCCATGGAGGTCATAGCCAATGGAAGTTGTGCCATCAGCTTCAACATAGCTAACTTCAGGGCAAATGAGGATGCGAGCAAGGGATGTTCCAGTTGCATGTGCAGAGTAGCCATTCAGCACTATGAAAGTCAGCATATTGTGGGGGGAAATTCTCTGATATCAACTTACTTCCATACCGGTGAGTAATTGAAAATTCTGACCCAGGGCTCCGGGCAGATATCTGAGTAATACTCTTGATATGGTCCTCCATATTTGTACTGGATTTCAGCATACTAAAGTAGTGAGTCAGCCAGTGTTATGCTATGCCTGTGTGTGGGACATACACAATGTACGAGTCAGGCTTTACTGGACCCTTTGGCATCCTGATACGAACAGAGGCAGCAAGAGCCATTGGTGTAGTGGAAGTGAATATAATGATGAGAATAACCACAGTTGAGAACTTCATTGCTGTAGCCAACAGGTGGGTTGAGAAGAATAGGGGAATAAGAACTGACAGCAAGCTGGAAGGATGTGCAAAGAGCCATACAAATAGTTTCTCAGCACAATATACAACCAGATGGCAAACAGGCTGGTTCTGAGAGACTGGTGTGAGTGTGAGGAATATCGATATTGCTAGCATAATTGCCCTGATGTGACACTTTGATGACAGCACACAGCTGATCAGAAGATAATAAGGACAAAATCGGAATGTGGGACAACCTTTCTTCAGCTCCTATCTTGCCTAGACCATGCAATCATGGTAGATATTATCTCACTGCATCATTTTTCTTGCTGTACAGATTGATTGGGGGCAATAAGTCATGAAAACCGGCACCATGCTCTGATTAGTTATTGAGTGCTCTAGAGAAGTGTGGTTGCCTTGCTACAAAGCCTATCAGGAAAACCCCTGTTGGAAGTGCAGTGCAACCCACATGCTGTGATCTACATGTGACAATTCCATCAAATGATCATGCTTTCTGTTACTTCGGACTTGTCTGCATCAGACATGTGGAGATATCCATTTATTTCAATTTTATTTCTTTTCCTCAGTTCTCACAGTTATCATGCTTGAGGCTGAGACAGACTATTCATTATCACTGAAACTCCAATCAGGTCTAGACCACAACAATCACACATTTGATTGAGCCAATTGGGTTTATGCACATAATTGATGTGATTGTACATACTTCACTTTTTCACAAAATCAAGTCCAGTTGGGGTTCTGAGTACATTGAGCCCCATGAGATGATTACTGTACTGGCATGACCAACAACCAGTCCTGTGTCACATGAGGACCTTGGAGCCTCTGGCAACTCCTGGAGGCCATGGGAACTGGTTATTGGTCATGCCAGTAAAGTATGGCTCCTAGGGGATTGGATCAGATCAGATCCAGATCAGGATATGTGGATATGTGAATCAAGTTGATATGCTCCAAAATTGCAGTTCATTGGAATGTCCTTGATGAGAGCTTTATAACAATATTAAATTCGTCCATATTGGTGGAAATACTGTGCTGGCATGACTGCCTACCTGGTCATGTGAAACTGCTGGAAGAAGTTTAGGATTGTAGTGAGCCACAACCCAGTGTGATGCATGACACTTGACCTGTCTCATTCACAGGGCATTGCCAACAATGGAGATATAGTACTCATATTAATAATATTGTGTATATTGACAGTGGACACAGCCACAAGTAGGGGTGCCATGGTTCTGTTCAGTTTGGTTCTGGAGTGATTTTTTGAGAACAAGAACTGTGAGGTCTCAGGGGGGTCACTGTCAGGGATGGTACAGGAGAGGCAGGGGTGGCAGCGTAGCCCCTGGCGCTAGTGGCCCGGGCAGCGGCAGAGTAGCGGGAATGTATAGGGGATGGCCCTCACTCAGGCTCGCATCCCTGTCTGGCTTCTTAGGCTGAAGCAGTAGTGATTGTTATTAGGATGAAAGACTAAAGTAAGACACTTGCCTGAAGCAGTAGTGAGAAGAAGGCTGCTTCTTCAGTTCTGCTTCGGCTCAGTTTATATACAGGTGGGAACGGGTCATGTGGGGGGTGCCACGTCAGCCCGGGTGGAGCCGGGTTATCACGGATGGCTCCGTGGGCGATCCTGAGTGTCAGAGGGGAGAAGTACAAATGAAGATGGGTGGCATGTCCGGCGGCACAGTATCCACATGGAGTACTTGGCGCCGGATGCGTCCGTGCTACATGGGTAAGGGGAGAGGTCATCTGTCATATCCCGGAATCCCGACCCCGCGCTCTCCCACCACATCACACCTTCCTAACAACTTCATCATCCCCTACACCATAACCCCCCACTCCCCAGGTCACCTTCCTCCTTTACTGTCTCAGCTCCGGCCTGGTTGTGGCACACCTTACCTTGGCCACTCCCATCCCGGAAGCTCAGTCCCGAGTGGGAACATTTGGAGACTCCGGATTTGCTCTGATCTCCAACGAATCTCTGACATCCTGTGACATACCCCTAAACCATTCCCCCACCCATTTCATTTATTGGAGTCACCCAACATCCTTCGGATATGTAACTCTGCCTTCGCAGCTACCCACATCCTTTGGTGACCCCACTCACGTCATCACTTATTAGTCACCTTCCATTTATAGCACAACTATCTTCTTCTTTCCATTCAGTCGGCTAACCCCCTCTTACCCATTTCTTGTTCCCATTCATCCTCCGGCCCCCCACCCCGCCCTCCTTGACCCAACACGTTGGTTCCCCGTTAAGGATATCATTCAGCACCTTTCGGTGTTTTCCATTATCATTCAGACTTTGACTAAAGTCCTTCCCATTCCTCCATATATAAATACTTGTAGATTAGAACCTGTAGTTTTCCCCAGTTCTAATCTCGACTAAAATGTTACCCCAAGTCCCTCTGAGTGAATCCTGACCCCTTTCTACAAGATACCTCAGACACATGAAATACAAGGACTAACTGAGATGTAACGGAGGCACAGCGCTCCCTCCAAGTCACTGAGGCTGTGTCCTTCTTAGAGCCTCTTGTACCACCCAGCAGACCCAGGCTTCCTGGAGAAGCTTCGGTCCACTACCGGAGCTCTCAGATCCCCTCTAGTTGAGCCCCACCTGCACTCGGACTCACGCATTTTCCCCTATGTTTGGGGTTTTTGACATTGTCTGTATAAAGAAGGAAAGGAAAGAAGAGAGGGAAAGAGGGAAGACAAAGGAGAAAGGGAGAGAGGGAGAAGGAAAGCGGAGCAACAGGAGGGTGCGGTGCAGAGCAGAGTGGCATGCCCTGACAGTCACTCAGCACACCAAACTGTAAGTGTTACAATGGTGTGTATTTTATGGTAGTGTTATGTGGTACCAGAAGGTGTCACTTGGTCACGTGACTACCAAAAATACAACCTGGTGTTACAGAGTGGGGTTTCAGGAAACCTACTCTGACCCATTCTTATAGATGAGTGCATAGGTTTGTCAACCTCATGGGAGCTGGGTGTCAGGGCCCGGCCTCGGACTCAGAGGCTCCCTGACTTCAACCCCCATCTGGCCTGTCCTCACACTATGTGGGGCATGAGATGAGAAGAAGGGTAAAGGTCTCCTCTTCCTGCATGGTTGCTATATAAAGGAATGGGTCACATGCCCACAACTATACAGCTCCTAGAGTTGTGTAGTGTGACCTGGAGGGAACATCCAGGTGGCAGTGCCCAGTAAGTGTGGGAACATTCTGGGTGAGCTGCTTGCTCAGAAAGTTCCCACGCTATCCCATGCATGCATGTACACAACACACAAAGGCAACAACAAGGCAACAATCAAAGAACAAAAAGGGGGTAAAGTAGGTGGGGAGTCTGGGGCACCCTAAGGCAGGGTGCTGAACCCTGACACTGGGCAATACAATCTCTGAGGCTGTGGTTGTATTGCCTGAAGTTACATCAGTATGTGAAGAACATGTTGATCCATGTTGTGGGAATTGATTAGCCAAATAGTGCATTTTGTCTGAGAAACTCATGGAACATGCCTGATAGGGAGATGTATGTATCAAGAGACAGTGAGGATCATGAACCAAGTGGAGAACATATGTCTCAGGGCATACCCCACCTGACCCTGCACCACCCTGCCCTACTCCGCTTCCCCTGCCATCACCCCCCACTCTGTTAGAACTGGGCGAGGGCAGACGATTCCGGAGGGGAACTGGAGACTTAGCAAGGAGGGACCTTGGCCTCAGCGACTCAAGGGGAGCACTGTGCCATTGCTGTTTGTCCATTTGGTCCTTAATTTCAGAAGCAGTGAGCAGGAAGTCTCTAGGGGGCATTTCTGGTCGATTTTAGACTGAGGGTCCAAAGCGAGTATGTACAAGCACCTGGGAGATGAAAGCACAAGGAAATCAAAGGGGGTCCAAATCAGAACAAAGGCATCCAAACGGAGACAAAGGGATGACAGAAGTGGAGCAGTACTGAAGGTCATGGGTTAGACTCTGTGGTACATCCAAAAGGAGGTAGGGAGGGCAAATCCCAGAGGGAAGGGAAGTAGGACTCCAGAAGTCAGGTTCAGAGTTCCGGGAGCCCGGAGCAGAGACCAGGATTGTACGGATATGACAGTTCTCAGGATCCCAAAATGACGTCACAAACAATTGAGGTTCCCCACAGTTATGCTGAGATGTGGCAGAGCAAGGTTGCTGAAATATGTGAACCCAAACGGAATTTTCGGGCTTCAAAAGGCAAAGGAAACATGGGTAGCAGCAAGGATGATCTTTCCAAGCAAAACCATGTCACCCCAGGGCTCAACCTGACAGAGAGCACATATGATGGCTGTGAAGGCTCATTCACAGCTGCCGATGGGGAGCGCCAGAAGGCATCCAAGAAGTACTTCGATGAAATGGGCATTATGTCTGCTGTCTGTCGTCACGGCCTACCATTATTCTACATCAGCGTTTGGACTCCAGGGGAACAACAGTTCTACATACTTTCATTACTCGGGAAGCTTATAGAGCATCTCCCTTCGTTGTGGACCATTGGGTGCCTGTATGACATTGGTTGCCAGACTGATCGTGCACTTCACAAGTGGAACATTGCACCTGAGTGGTGGTCACGTCTGGTGTGGGGCATCTCTATCTTTCACACCTATGGACATCAATGGGCTTGTCAGCTATGGTATCACCCTCAGAAGGATCGTGTCTGGGGTCTTTCGGATGGTGAAGTGTGTGAGCATTTTTGGAGTGAACTGTGACAGCTCATACCAAGTCTTTGGGTTGTGGGGTACCACTGTCATCTCTTTGTGCTTGACATGCAGATGAGCCATATCACTGATACGAAGTGTAAGGAGAGGTGAAGGACATTAAAGTGCAAGAGGTGCAACAGTCAAATGGAAGAACGTATGAAATATGAAAAGAGAGGGTCTCACCTTCAGCCCGCAGTGGCCCAAGCCATGTTAAGCAACCTGCAAAGTGGGGGACCCAACATCAACCGAGAGGAGAGAGATTGATAAGGTAGGCGACTCACAGAAGTCATCACTATCACGGTAGATTCTGGTCAATTCAGTTATGTGGCTGTGTGTGGCTGTGACGGCAAAAATCTTTGGGGTCAGTTGTGACCTGAAGTTTTTTGCCTGCTCTTTGCCTCATCTCTCCATTGTGTAGCAGTTGCACAAGCTATGTGAGCTAGTGGTGGGGCTTAAAAAGCCTGCACCAGGGTTTCTTGCCAGCTCTGACCAGCCATTCCGTTCGCACATGATTAGAAGCTCTAATGAATTGTGGCTAGATTGAATAGACCTTCCATAAATGGAAAGTGCACATGTTCTCACTGCAGTGTCAGAGACTAGAATATTGTCAGAGTCAGGCAGACTGTCAGAAGATGGACTGAAGATGGGTGGTTTCTGTCTGAGTTGAGGTCGGAGGTGATGCAGAGGTCTATTGGAGTGCACATGTGGATATGCGGGCGGGAATATGCGGTGCATCCGGAAGCGCTGTTCAAGGTTAGCAAAGTGGGATCGCGGCCTCAGCGACTCAAGTGGAGCGCTGTGCCCTGAGCTTGACATTTGGGGGAGATCCCGTATTTACAGACTGACACTTACAGTGGACTTCAAACAAGACTTGTGGGTGGAGCAGACCTGCAGGAGGAGTGCAGACTCTGCGAGCATGGACTCAGAGGGGGGGGGGGGTACTCTAGTTGATTTCAGACTGAGGTCCCCAAAAGTATTTACAGGATATAAATAGCAGGAGGGAAACACAGAAGGGCCGGTCAGTCCGGCACAGTCCGGTGCAGAAATAAGCAGGGATTGTCAAACTGAATGAAGGACAAGAGCCCGGGAAATGGGAGGCAATGAAACAAAGCAAAAGCAGATCATGTCATATCCATCCCCGGCCATCAACTTCCACTCCCTCCGATCCCTCCAGTCTACCTCCTCTCCTTCTTCACTAACCTCGGAGCTCCCATATTCCGTAAATCACTGTCAGGGCACACCTGCCTGACCCGGGTCCACCCGGACCCACCCAGCCACACCACACCCGCTCCCCACTGTCCATCCCTCTCCCTCCTCCTCCCTCCCTCTCTTCCCCTTTGTTTTCCCTCTTCCTTCCCCTTTCTTTATTTCATTCTTCTCATCTTCCTCTTCCTGTTTATTTCTTTCTATCTACACGGACCACCTTCCTTTGTATCGATGTACTATTGACCCATCCGGCCCACACACCCCGGATGGCTTCCCGCTGTGCCCAGCACGCGCGCATGCAGTGGACACTCTCGGGATCCCCCACAGGGACACCCGGATGCCTGCGGCTGCCTCCGAGGATGACGTGGCACTCGTCATGTGACTCAAGCCGCATGTACATAAATGTACCTGAAGTGGGAACCGAAGAAGTAACCTTCTTCTCACATTCTCCACTTCCGGTAAGTAGTATAGTGTTCCCCTTTAATAATAATAACACATTCTCCACTTCAGTCTGAGTGGCCAGGGACCATTGTCCCGGATCGGGCCTGCCAGTACGCATGCCTGCTCCACACCCCGCGACGGCCTCAGTGCCGGACATTACCCCCAGGCCCTCTTGACCCTGGACACGTCCCTGACAATCACCTCGGTACCTCTCGATGGTCACCACCCCCTCTTTTCAATTTATTACCTACGCCTCTTTAAGTATGGAGCCCCGAAGGCTTCCGGACAGCTCCGACGTCCGCTAGCGCACTCCCACCTCTGCTGGGCAATACACTCACTTGCCCTGCAAGCCTACCTTCAGGCCTATCCCTCCTTTCCATTTCTGGGTTATCACCTGCCATCCTGCTAACCCCGTAACCTGACTCATCAGTAATATTCAATCAGCTAATGTCTAACCCCGTTAGCTCCGCTCCGCTCAGCTCTGCCATTTGCAGGCCTGCTCTCGTTGTAACCATATATATACTCCACTTATACATAGGTTACACCTCAGTAATAAAATCGACTAGAGTTTACCCCTTTCAGTTCTGGTTGCCAGTTTAGTAAGTTAGGGCATGGACGTGTTACTTGGCACAGCGCTCCTGGCACAAGTCACTGAGGCCGAAGCCCTCCGTCATGGAGACACCCCCTCGTCTCAACCTGGTCTCTGACAGATCAAGTGCCAATATTCGCAAGTTAAGTGAATGAATGGATGAACAATATAGGCACTCAGCAAAGAATGAATGGTATGCTGCCGAGTGACAAAAATGGCCAGAGGGGAAAAGCGGAGGTCAGTGCATGGCGCTGATACAAGTCCGCAAATAAGCAGGGTCGGTGCGGTGCTGACACAAGTCCGCAAACAGAGGTTGATCTGTCAGCACTGTCACACAAGGTGTCATATCCATGCATACCCGATCCCGACCCGACTCCTGGACCTCCATCTTCACCACCTCCGGAGTCCTACCCTACCGCTGTCTGTTCCGATATTCACCTTTGGTCCTGACACCACACCTCCTCTCCCCCCTCATGTCACTCCCACTCCTCCATCCTTCTCCTGTCCTATCTCCGTCCACTCCGATACTCACCTCGGACCGAACATCACTCCTCTCACCACCCTCCTCCTACTCCTCCACTTCCTCCTCACAACACCTCCACCCTTCCATCATTCTCCTACCCTTCGCCCATCCGCTCCGATACTCACCTTCAGACCTGACACCTTTCCTCTCCTCCACTCCTCTCCCCTTTTGTCTTTTGTCCCTCTTCCCTCTGGCCCTCTTCCACCGACCTTCCACCAAGTTATGACCTTCCGCTGCTGTCCCGTACCTTGTACCCAGACACCGCTTGTACCTTCTCTCCAAGACTCCGTCATAGTTCCTACCTCGGACTTTGACCCCACCTCAGCTTTAGTCCATTGCATTGGTGACCTCATACTACGTAAACACCATTGCCAATATTCCTCGGACTTTCAACCCCACCTCCATTACCTCTGTAAGCTCCACAACCTCTGAGCTCCATGGATCATCTTCAGCACTTTCGCCGCTGCAAGAGGGCTAGCGGCTCTCTATGCCGACTAAGCTCGTGGGGCCAAACTCTCCTAAACTCCTACTTTCTCTCTAGACTTCGCTTGACTCTCGATCCTTAAACTCCGTGTGGGTTCTCCGGGATTTCCGCAAGGTCCGGGCTCAGCGTCCACTACTCACTCGTTGTGAGCTAGACAGCTGCCCTTATTCCTACTGTTGGAATTCCACTCACTCACTCCAACTCTAGCGCGTCCTAGCACCTTAGAGAATTTGGGGGAGGGGAGAACTTCTATTCCAAAAATCCGGTATGTACAGGATTATAAGAAATAATTATTTTTAGAAATAATAGATGGTGAATATTGGTACCATATGGCACCTGGGTACCTTATTAGGCGAAATAATAAAAAGGGTAACAGTAACAATAAAAGAATATCAATCAATAACTGAAATGATGGCAAAATATGAAAATAAAAGAAAATAAGCGATATCTCAATGGATTTGCGGAATTAAGAGCCTAAATTGGAAATGTAGCCGGAGATAACTCTCACGCAGCCAATGAGCATTTTTACCAATTACTAGACGCCATGGGAACGAGTGAGGCTGGAATTCTGGGTTGCCGCTTGAGATTCCCACGCCCGCACATGCCCGTGACCTGCTGTGCCTAACTTGCCCAACATTGAACTCCGTCAATTCTCCACCGATTGGGACGTTCTTGATATCGTCAGAATCGTACGAATTAGGACTATTTTTAGATACCGAATCCGTATCGAGTTGTCGCATGAATGGAAGGGGTTTTCTAATCGTAGAAGCGGGTATCCGAGCCGGCTCTGTGCGTGGGCGATTATCCCGCCTACACCGCTTGTAATGTATCTTTCGCGTTTCCCCATCATCCCTATTTGGACTGCTGCTTCTTCCCATTCTAGCCAGTTAGTCATCATCCCCACTTCCCCTCATCCTCCTGCCCCTCTGGGCTTTGCCCTCCTTATCTCCTTTCGGATGTACCACAGGTTCAGCCCTATGACCTTCGGTACCACTCTGCTTCTGTCTTCCCTTTGTTCCCGTTCGGATGCCTTCATTCCGATTCGGATCCCCTTTGTTTCCTTGTGCTTTCGCCCCCTCCATATATATATCGGCGCTTGTACATACTCGTTTTAGGCCTTAGTCTAAAATCGACCTGAAATGCCCCCTAGAGACTTCCTGCTCGCCTCCTATGAAATTAAGGACCAAATGGACAAACAGCAATGGCACAGCGCTCTGCTTGAGTCGCTGAGGCCAAGGTCCCTCCTTGCTAAGTCTCCAGTTCCCCTCCGGAATCGTCTGCCCTCACCCAGTTCTAACACAAGGACAGCATGAAGGCCAACAGAGGTACAGAGGGGAGTGGGAGTGTTGGCCTGACCAGAGGTGTCAAGGGCAACCAGAAGTGGCCAGAGGGTGCAGAGATGGGCAGAGGGCATGGAAGTGGCCAGAGGGTGCGGAATGCACGGAAGCGGGGCATGGCTGTGACCACATAGTGGGAAGCAATGAGTGAGGCCCACAAGGCGGGCATAGGAACTGGAGGGACTGAATGCTGGGAGTGCCAAGGGCTTGGGAACTGGAGGTAAGGTCGGAATGCCGGCAGGGTCTAGGTTCTGATTGTTGGCCAAGTCTCACGCGATAAGGCAGGGGCCAGACATCAGGTTGGGGGCTGGTTAGGATGGGTTTCGGGTCAGCGGATTCACCTATCAGCATTGATTCGCTGCTGACAGAGCCCCAGGATTTGTTGGTCGTGACATGCAGCAAAAGTTTCAATGTGACTCAGATGGAAAG